CCCCCCCGTCTCTCGGACTCTGGGTGCTGTTGATTCCGTTCCGGCGGGGTGTGGAGGTACCGTGTGAGAAGAACGCCGCTGTGCACCATTCGCTGCCGCCTTACGCGCTTTTTTTTACACTTCTTTTTGTCTTTTTTTTTTTCCCAATCCGAACGCCACCTCTCACAGCATTTTTGGTGTTCAGGAGGTGGTCGATACCGCGGTCGATACCGCGCTAATGAAGTGGAGACAGGGAGTCCGTAGGCGGTTGACGGTGGTGTCTGATGATTTCAAAGTCGGAAATTTTCTTGTGTTTGCAAATCGATTCCCAGGTTGAAGTTGGGTGGAGTAGTTTTACAAAGTCATGGGCATGCCTCCAGAAAGCAGGGTGCCAGCAGAAAGAATCACCTTTTGAGGATGAGGAAGAGGGGTGGGTGGAATTCCACTTCTCTTTACAAAGATAATGCTACTTGCATCTGATGTAAATTGGTTTATTTTTAATGGGGCGTGATTAATGTCATATTCCGGGTAAACATAATGTCTACAGTTAGGGTGAGAAAACCAGTTTTGGTTCTGGATCAAAACTGGTAGGAGGGCATGTGTGCATGTGTTTTCCAGTTTGTTCAGAGTAAAGTATCAAACGGCAAGTGAAGCAACAGCATGTATTCTTACTGAATACTTCCTTTGTTTCTGTGTTCGGTTTTGCAGAAGCTAAATTCTGGGATAAAAGTTAAGTGACTGAAGCTTCTGTGAAAGCTGTCACTGGATTCGCGTTTGTTTGTGTACCTTTTGATCTCAAAAGAAAAGCAAGACTTGGTAACTTTTGTAGAACACAATTTTCAATCTTTTTTTAATGTTCATGTATTTTGGCAGCAGTTTCTAATGGGATGTCAAGACAGGAAAAGTTGGCCTAGCTCTGCTAGGCACTTACTTGGATACATCTAGTACGTCATTCAACCAGTAACCAGTAAAATAGCTAATAGTGTTCATATTTGGTAGAAACAATTTATAGAGCACTGTAAATGCGTGTAGCGCTTCACAGACACAAAGAGCTGAGGTCCCTGCTGTGAGGCACTTAACCATCTGAAATAAAAGTAATACAGGGAGTAACAATGCAAACACAAGAAGGCATACCAATACGTGATGAAGGTCTTGCCTTCTTTAGCTAATGTTTGCCTTTCTGGCTGTGAATTTAGCTAGACAGGCTGGCCTTCATAACGTAAACTGTCTTTCAAACCAGACAGGTAGAAATGAAATTTAAAGATGAGTAAGTCTACATTCTGGAAAATTAAGTCTATGTAAAGATTCCAAGGATTAGCTCTTACAGCTGCTTTGCTTGTGTAGCAGTAATTTAGTTAGCTCGCGCAGTAACTGTAGAGTTAGTCTGTAGATTTTGCCTCACGGTGTTGCTTTAAAATGTGTGAAAGCCCTCATACAGAACAGCAGAATTTTATGGCACTTACTGGTGCAAGGACCAGTTTCCAGAAAGAACTTCTGTCACTCACTGGCCTTTTTGTCATTAATTAATGAAGAGCTCACAAATACATGGCAGAACTTGCATGTTTGGTTCTGGGAGAAGCCTTTTCTGTGCGTGTTCAAAACCTACAGTAAGTTCTCAACACGTCTTTACTTTTCCTCTGTAAAATACGAGGATGTTGTGTCCTGGTTAAAGGCATGAAAGATGAGGATACACATTAAGTGAATTTAAGCAACTCAGATATTTGAGTACAATATTTTTTATAGATGATCCAAAAAGTGCGTTCACCATTTTTCAAGCAGAGTCACTGAAGTAGCTACAGTGAGTTGTTAAATCTAATAAGCAAGCCTTTGATTTAAAAGCTTTTAATTTTGTTTGTAATTTTTAGCCGCTTTTTTTTTTCCTGTGTTAAAGGTGCGTTTTTTAAGCTCAGTGCTCTGTGCAAAAGGTGTGTGTATTTAGAGAAAAAGGGCTGACTGAACAAGGAGAAATGGGGTTAGTATGTGCAATGCTGCGAAATGAGTCAGCTGGACAACCTGAACACTGACACTGCAATAAAACTGAGTGTTGTGACAATGGCAGATTTTTACAAGCGTGGAATTAGAATAGCTGTTTCACAGATTTTTTCACAGGAGAAAAAAGTTAACTTGTAAACAGAGCCTTTTGGAAAGGATTAAAAGCAGGTTTTGTTTTCTTCAGTGCTGCGTGTAGTTGTGTGGCTGCGATTACAGTCTGTGGTCTCGCCTATGGAGCCAAATTAACAAGATGTGGCTTATTTTGTTCTTGGTTTTTGGGATGCTGTGGCAATGGTAAAACTGCCAGTAGGTCATCGCAGTGTGATTTCACAGATCAGAAGGGAGAAAAACAGTTGTAGAGGTAGATGTTGGAACCGTGCTGTGGGTGGGGCAGGGAGAGGGAGGGTTAAAGTTTCTGAAGAAATAGCCTGGAAGGCAAATGATGTGGTGAACACACTGACAGAGCCTGACAAGGGAAGGAGGGGGTGCAGAAGTCTGGCGACCTCCCGTGCCCTCCGTAGCCATGGGGCTGCAGGGCAGCACCCCACGTCGGAGAGATTTCGTTAACTGAGGACGGTATGTGGAGATGCGTTAGGTGTTGGCTAGCCCGCAAGGGGCACAAGAGCAGGTGTGAGCCGTATCGCAGATGGCACTTTGTCAGAACGTGGGGAGTCAATAGAGGCACAGGAGCTGGACTTCGCATTTCAGTATGCCACCTTGGTCTTGCTGGACGACCTCTAAATGCTGACCTTGTGTATTAACTGTGTATACGAGCTGATAAAATTGGTAAGACCTGTTTTAACCTGGTATGTTTTTACCTTTCCACAGAGTATTTTTAATCTCTTTCTAGCAACTACGAAGGGGGAGAACAGAGTTCTTTTCAGAGTCTTACCATGCAGCTAAAATATCTTGAATGCGGGGTGCCTTATTACCTTCCTGCTTTGCATTTTGGTGCCTTTCAGTGACTAAGACAGAGCTGAACAAACTTAACTGCAACACTTGTTTCTTCCAGAGAAACCTTAATTTTGAGTATTCAAGTCCAAATACAGAGTCACCAGATTGGGTTTTTTTTCTGACAAAGTAGACGCTAATAGCTCCTAAATGAGAATTACAGAAGACAGTATGGGGGTTTTATGCAGCAGTTACTGTGTTTCTTTATTGCAGTTACACTTTTCAAAGAAGTAACATAGCTCTTAATATGTCTGGGAAAAAAACAAACTGAGCTTGACTAACACCTTTTAATTCCTGAGAAAGGTAAAAAACTGCAGTAATGAGCACACAGGTTTTCCATAGTTCTGATGGAGATGGTGAGGTCAGTACTGCATCACTCATATTCAAAACTAATGGTCTTTGTTTTTCTAAGAGGGATATTGGCAACAACACCAGACTTTTTGTTTTTTAAAAGCTTTGTTTTATCTTTTCATTCTACCTAAACAACAGGAATGTTAAAAAGTGTTTACCAAATTCTGTTTGGTCTAGGTCATTCATGTTTTGGTACAAGAGACATAACAGCACTTAATTTGAATCCTGATGTTTTCTACAAAATCAGACTAAAAACCAAACAAACCTGTAACAGAAAATTAACAAAACCTGAAGAATAGCACTTCAACTCTGTAATGACTAATTCTGTTTTGATTACTAAATTTGGAACTACTCTTTTACAACCCTAATGCACTCAGTTTTTGTGAAGCTTGTGTATGAAATGCTTTGGGATGTTTGAGGAAAGGCAGTACATAGGTAGAAATGTTGTTACTTTAAAGATAATATGGAGCCAATATTTAATAAGATAACGTGACAGATAAATAAATCTTGTACCTTCTGCATTTGTTTATTAAAAAATAACACTGTCTCTCTTGGTTAAACTTAAAATGCGATTCTGTTCCCCACTTAGGAAAACTATGAACGAATGAAAGCACTGGTAACCGAACTCCAAGAGCAAGCAGAAAAAATCAGATTAGGTAAGTATGATAGTCTAGATTTTAGAACACTTATTTCATCAGTCAAAAAATCAGTTTTGCTCTTTGGATTTTTTCCCGCATAGCTTTACATTAATTAATCAGTTCATTCTGATAGAACGTGTTTGCTGGATTGTAGTAGTCATAACTGAAATTTTAGCTCATCTATTTAGATTTAGCATCTTTGGTCAGTTGAAAATCTTAAAAGGTTTACATCCAAGGTAACTTAGTTCAAAATTTGGGGTTTCTTTAAGTAACTCAGGCTAGCAAAGAAGAATGTCCATACCATTAGCACTTCTTTGTTTACTGCGGTATCTAGTGTGTGGACATATTTTATATTTGTCGGTTGAATATCAGAGCAATATCCTAATGCAAGCAAATCCATAAATTACTGGAAGAAGACCTAAATAAAAGCAGGGATAATTTAGTCAAACAGAAGATTAATTTCATTGCCAGAGAAGCAAAAAGTAAGCAAGAAGAAGTGAAAACTGGGTATTTAGAGTCAGGTAATTTTTAACCAGTTAGGATCTTAGTAATCAGTGGAATGTATATTTCTAATGGCAATATTGTTTAAAAATAATAATATTATTAATAAAAGGCTTTTATTGATACATTTTCCACTTCACCTGCTTCCTTGCTTCATACGCTGCTGCCTGCTTTTATAGCAGATTAGTCTGGCAAATGTGCTTCAGTTCAAGTTGCATATTAGTATCTTCATGTGCAAAGAGGATTTTCAAAGATCCTAGCTGTAATTGTGCTGGCAAACAAAAGCAAGTCTGTAATAGTTGAGAAGATTGAAATCTGTGTTTGCTAAGTTGTAAGACTACCTGAATTAATTACAATTGACTATAATTAATGGGGACGATAAAATGAAAATGATTTGTAAATGCTGAACTGTGCTGCCAGAGGTTGAGCACACAGCTTTAATTCTCCCCTTCTTGTGTTCGTCGTGATACTGTTTATCTCTTCATACACTGTTTCTTATATAATGCAATTTCTTCTATAGCTTTGGAACAGAGCATGGTTAAGGTTTTGTGCTTACTGCTTTTTCTGTCTGCTGTGAAACAAAGCTCCAGGATTTCCTAAGGAGATGCTGAAACCCACGGATTACCTCTGTGTTTTATGGGTGTAGAGACTGATGATCATGGCCTTCTTCACTGCTGCACATTTTGCTGTTCTTGCCTGTTACATGATAACAGGACAAGAAGATGGCCCTCATCTTTTCTGCGTCTTGGGAAGCTCTACCAGCATGTTAATGGACTGTTTTGAGTGACATCAATTGAGATTGCTTTGCCTGTCATTTAAGTACATGAGAGGAATTAGGTGCTCACGTTGAATACTTTTGACAGATAAGTGCAACATCTTTTGATGCTGATCTGAAAGAGCTGTATTTCAGAGGATGAGCTCTTGCCTGAGGTCTTTGTAATGAATGCTTCCATCTTTATCTGTTACTTCACTGGGTAGGGCTTTTGTGAACCCCTAACCCATTGTAATGAGTAATCCCTAGCTGTGCAACAGGAAGACAGTCCTTGCCCTAAAGAGATGACAGGCTATAAGAAGTTCCAACAGATGGATTTCTGATGACAAGCACAAGAAGCAACTGAGATACATTTAGTCTCTGTGACTGGCAGCAATCATAGCACATCAGCAGTCACGGTGAAGTTTTTATAGACATTACTGTAAAGGCAAAATTAAAGAAGGTATTTCAAATTAAGTGCCTGCAAGTTTATTTCTTTGTCAGGGTGCTGCATCTCACAGTTTACAGAATGGAGGCTAGCGTAGGGTAGAGTGAACGTCTTGATCTTGGAAGAGAAGAGTTCAGTAGAATGGCTACAGGGCCCAGAGGGCAAGCGTTTACAATTAGTGTGTGAAGAGGGAGGGTGCACAGAGATGACAGAAATCACAGGATGGAAATGTTTTTTTGCAGTATCACTCTGGGTGTAAATGAGAAAGGCAAGATGGAGGTCAGAGAAAACATTGTAGTTATGATGTGGAATGCTGAGAACTTGGATGAGAGTATCAACTCTGTGGGTGGATATGAAACTTGTACAGAAAGAATTTACAAGATTTAGACTTAGGCTGGCTACACAGACCTAATGAACAGGGTGAATCAGAAATAAACTATGGGCTCTCTGCCTAACAGGTAGGAAATGATGTGCGTGGCGATGAAGGAAGGGGGTAAGAGAAAGGGCTTTAAAGGTTGGCTTAAAAGCTCTGTTTCAGTGATGCTTAGCTGACAAATCTTGAAGTCTCAGGAGAAATGTTAGCAAAATAGCACCTTCTTTATTTTGGATGGGGGAGACAGTTTTAGAGTGATGGGGTGGATCAGTGATCTGTCTACACAGACAATGTTTGTATAAGCTGTTGTTATAAAGAGGCTGAGGTGTGTCAACAAGTCTTAAGTATTGAATGACACAGAGCTCTAGAGAGCAAAAGATATGAGTTAGGATGACCTCGAGTCAAGAGCTGAAATGAGGCAAAGATAAATGATATTAAATGTTGTGTGTCTGAACTCTGCTTACAGTTTCTGAGTGACCTAAGGAAATGAATCCAGATTGTGTTGGGTCTTTCAAGATTGGGTTCAGCATAGGTATTTTGAACCAATTTTGAGAAATAGTGTTTTTTGCAGTTCCTACTGCTGTGTTTTTGTCTGTGTGTTTGTGTTTTCAACCCTTCTGTTCATCACCAAGCGGGGGGGGGAAGTTTCAGACAACTGTGTTTATTAGTCTTTACCTCAAGACTAGCTATAAAAAATGAGGGGGAAAATGGAATAGGTTCTGAAAAGCAAGCATCTTTATCAATACCTTAAATCTGTTTGACGTGAAAACCATTTTTTATTAAATTAATTATTAAGGTCCATACTTCAAAAACTGGGAACTCCATTCTAAGTTTTAATATAAGTGGTAATTTGTCTATCTGTGTCCGTAGTAAATATAACAATTTACTATTGTGTCACAGGAGGTGGAGAAAAAGCTCGTAAGCTTCACACATCAAGAGGAAAGCTGTTGCCCAGAGAGAGAATTGACAGGCTTATTGATCCAGGGTAGGTACTTTCTCTTTTTAAAACCACTTCAGGTTCTCTTTTGTGGGTAAGTGATGTAACAAGCTTGTTTTCTCTTTAGTTTCCATGAACACTGGCAAATAACACGGTTGAAATGTTACAGAAGTGTTCTTTGAAATAGTCATCTCTTTTCTTAAAATAAAAATCTCATGTTAAAAAATTTCGGTGAGATTCAATGGCAAATATGGCCGATTGCTTTTTAAAATCATGTTGTATCTGTCATTATTCAGGTCTCCATTCCTGGAGTTCTCCCAGTTTGCAGGTTACCAGTTGTATGGTAATGAAGAAGTACCGGCAGGAGGCATTATCACAGGCATTGGACGAGTATCTGGGTGAGAGATACCAATGATTTTCATTATTGATGATGTGAAACGGAAGAAGGTATAATTTTGCTTAGTTTTCGGTATAAGCTATTAGCATTTTCAGTGTTTCTTTTCTGACACCCAGAAGTTCAGCACAGTTGGTGCCTAAATTTGTTCAGTCTTAGCAAAAAGGAAGTGACTCTGTATTTTTTATTTTTTTTAGTTAGTGTATCCTATATTAAAACAGAAGCACACATCGTTTCTGGTGTATTATGAAGGGAAGGAATTAGTGCATCAGTACGGCAATTTTCAAAGAATGGACAGTATTCTAGGCTAAGAATTAATTTTACTCACTAAAAGTGGCTCCAAGACTGTTGAAATTAAATATGATGGTATACAGCAGGGAGTTAAGGACATCATAGTGCTGAGACTGCTGTTACAATGTGCATTTTAGGGAATGCAGGTGAGGCGGGCTATTTTTGAGCATCAGGGCTTCAAGAGTCCTTGGCATGTTGCAGTTCTTAACCAACAAACATACTGAATCATTAGAAATATTTTTCTTTCTCATAAACTTGTTTTATTTTTAGGGTGGAATGCTTGATTGTTGCTAATGATGCAACTGTCAAAGGTGGTACCTATTATCCCATCACTGTGAAGAAACATCTGCGTGCTCAAGAAATAGCAATGCAAAATCATCTCCCTTGCCTGTATTTGGGTAAGTCCCACTGCAGAAATAGCAAATGTCCTTTGTTAAGGGCAGCTCAGGTTCTCTAGATAAGACACTACTCCATTAAATAAATATTGTTGAGACTGATGTGTCCCCAGTTTTGACTAACCAGGCATGTGTTTTAGATGCATCTATTCAAATGTGTTTTCATCAGTACTGTTACCTCTACAGATTGATGGCAGATCTTAACTGGAGAGTACCTGTAGCTTCTCAGCACTGTCTTCTGCACTGCTGTAGGGCTGGGTTCATAAGGCACAGGTATAACTCCGCCACTGCATCACTTCTTTTGTATTCCTTTCACTTCTGTCATGCTTGAGCAATCCATCCTCTAGTCTCATCCAGTCTTAATTCAAATTACAATTTAAAAATAAAAAAAGTTGTTTTGCCTTTTGGTGGAACATGTAGCTGTAGGAGAGAACACACCAACAAAATAAAAAAGTCTCAGTGCCGAAAGTGTCAATAATAGTTTAGATCAACAGATCTCTACAATTTGGGATGAAACTTACTGAAGCAGAAATTTCATTGTATGTTGTTTTGCATTTTGAGTTTAGTCTATTAAACCAGTATTTAGCCAAACCTTCATGTAAGTTTCACTTATGTGTACTTCTGTTAAAGATTAAGAATAGAGTGCTAAATGTCTTTAGTATATTACAGGTAGTATTTTCTTAGCCTGGTTTTGTACAAATACAAGAGCTTTCTGCCAGTGTCTGTCCTTCAGTCTCAATTCCTGATCAAATAACTTCAGAACCCGTTCGCCAATTTCAGCCAAGTTTGACGGAGAGATGTAAGAGAGTGTGTGTTCCAGTGGATTTTCTGTAAGTTAGCATGAGAGGAGAAAGACCTTCTACTGTCTCCGTTTAAAAAGTAGAGTGAGTTAGTCCTTGTCTATTCCGCTTGACTTAACAGCTTACATAGCAGCTGAGAGGCGTTAATTGGTTTGCCAGTTGGGACACTTGTACTAGTTAAATAGTCAGCATAAATGTAGGTCCTGGCCAGAAGAAGTGTTTGTAATTTCTTGCCCTGCTGGTAGGCCAAACGTGCAAAGAATACTGGGAGGAGGATTAGGAGAAATGTGAACTTGAAAGTATTGGTGGGGTGGATGCAGGAACAGTGTGGGTGGGGACTTTGTGGGATTGTCATGCTGCAATGGAAAGAGTCTTGGAGGCAAGGGGAGGGCTAAATTCTATCTTAGTCATAAAAACTGGAAGAAGCTTACCTTTGCTGTTTGCAGAAGAACTGTATGATTTTTATAGTCTGAATTGTCAGCAAATTCTATCTGTTCAGACAACTCTTATTTTTTTAATGAGTTATCAGGGAACAATTATGTGTGAGTCTTCTGTTTTAAGATCTTAGGGAATGAGGAACTGTGAGACATAGATATGCCTTTGAAACAAAAGATGAATTTTTTTATTCCACTTATGAGATGTATAGTTCTGTTATATATACTGCTCATCACTCAAACTTGATGAAGTATGTTACCTTTGCAATTTCTGTACCTGGGCTCGTTTCAGCTGGCTTCAGTTGTGCAATCTAGAGGGAGTGCTTTGTAGTCAGTCAGCACTTTGCTGACCATGTAAATTTCATGCCATCGGAACTGCTGTTTCCTTCAGTGGTAGCAGCCTAGGTGTTCATTCTCTGATGTGGACACCTGGTGGCATTTGTCACCAAGTCAGTCACTGGTGTGGTCATTTTCTTCTGTGTTCAGGTATGGCCCGTTTCACAGCACTGGCGTGTTGACCAGGTTAGAGTTCATCTAGTTGCCGGAGTTGATGCTGGTTTGGGAGAGCAGTTCTGCAAGGGCGGGGAAAAGAATCAAACCATGCTTCACTGTAAAGCTGAATGTAGGCCATTACTGGCTGCAGTCGTGCAACCTACTGGTGCTCGTAGGTGAAAATTAATTAGCAGGAGCCAGAGTTCGGAGAGATGCTTGGTCTCCCTGTGCATTTCCTTCTACTCTTCTATCCTTCTATGGAGTGTTATGACACGAGGTATTTTCATTATTTGGGAGTGAAGAGTTAGCTGCAGTTGGAGACCTGTAAGCTGGAGGGCACATCATGAGGCAAGGAGAGGTTCCTAAAGATAGTTGTAGGTCTTTGCTATGTCTGTATAATTAGAATATGAAAGTACACATGCTATATGTCTTGAACTTAGTGGTGGTTAGTCTGCCCCTTTTCTGGAACTTGTGACAGAGTTGCAATAGTATAACTGAGTTTATATCATACGTTGAAAGTGTTCTTAAGTTTACATGTTTTGCAGTAAGATGAATTTGCAAGTTTGTATAGGGAGGTATGATTGCATCTCTAAGCACGTCCATTAGAGTGATTGGGATGGAGGTTATTGGAGATTACTGTTTTTTTTTTTCTCAAGAAGAATATCCTGATATACCTAGATTTGTGGAAATACATATAGTGTTAGTGATAGCAATTGCTGTATATTTAAGTAATGTGGAGCTACTTTACCAGATACTGAAGTATGTAACACTGTTCAAAGACATGTTAATGTATTTTCGTTCACTATAGTTGATTCAGGAGGAGCAAATTTACCTCGACAAGCAGAAGTATTTCCAGATAGAGATCATTTTGGCCGTATTTTCTATAATCAAGCAGTCATGTCCTCACAAGGAATTCCACAGGTAATTTGCTTTTTCTTATGAATGGAATGTACTACTTAGTTTTTGTGCTTGCTGCCTTTATCTAGTTTCAAGGCTTGTACAGATGCTTTGCTTTTGACAGCACTGTGTTGTGCTGACCTACTGATCCAGTCTTGGAATTGGAGGCACTGTAAACACACTAATTATCCACAAAAAGTCATTATAGTTTTGAAGAAGCTGTCGTCTTTCTTGGCTTTAGTGTTAATGACATGACCTACCTGCTCCTATCTTGGAGTGGGAGAAAGAGGGAGTTGACAACATGGTATGTAAGGCTGTGTAAGGAAGCACTAGGAGGTCTCTTGGAACAGTTGATGATTCCGCGTCAACACTGTAAAGGTGAGGACCCCTTTGATGATGGCTGGTAAATGAGACGTACTTTCTACTAACAGGGGTGTGCATGTATTTGTGTACCTGTTTTATACGCTGATGTGCTGTAGATAAAACTGCCCTAACAATGAGGTTATTTTCTAATGTATTAGTGATGCATAGAATTACTGTTAGTCACAGCTCCTGGATTTAGAAGAGTTTTTGTGTCCTGGGTATTTCAGGAGTGCATTGGGGTCAGTTTTTTGACGCAGGTGGCGTGCTAGGGGAGGTGCACTTCTGGATCTGTTACTCATGAAGAATGTAGAACTGTTTGAGGATGTGATTGCTAATGGCAGCCTTGGCTGCCCAGAAAGTGGAGGGCAGAGTATAAGGTCCCGATGGAGGTGAGGCATGCCAGTAGCAGGATAAGGACCCTGGACTACCCTGGAGGGTAGTCTTGGGCTTGTCAAGTGAATTGTCAGCAGGGACCTGTGAGAGGCTGCCAGGGAGGGCGGAGGAGTCCACGTGCTTTGAAAATAAGCTCCTCGAACAAAGGCACACTTCAGGAAAGCAGAGGACCAGGTTGTTCGTACAGAGTTGCTGTCTAGTCAGTCAGTCAACTCCCAGCCTCTTCATATGCTTGTGTAGCCCTGTCGTATACCTGCCTTTTATTCCGCTTTGCAGTCCAAAGAATTCAGGCTTACTTAGCTGTTCTTCCTACAGAAAGTGTTCCATACCTTTGATTGTCCTAGTTTATGTTCTGTAAATTTTTTCCCATGTCTCATTATATCTTTTTTGAGATGAAGGAGCCACTGTGCACTGTTAAGTATGTCAACTGATGATGGATATGTGTATATGTATAGTAGCGTAATGATATACATTATTTTCTTTTCCATTCCTTTGTCAGTAGTTCCTAACATCTTTGATTTTTTTTTTTTACTGCTTAGCAGTTAGCTGGTGTTTTCACTGAATTATCTTAATTTGAGGAGCCTCCTCCTAGGTGTAGTTGTTAATTCAATGCCTATCACTTTAAATTGGCTGGTTTAAAGAAGGTCAATGAAATTTTAAGGCTATTGCACCTGAGGGGAAAAAAAATACTGTTTTAGAACATTAGGCTTAGAAATAGGTGTTGGAACCTCAAGCAGAGTAGATGTTTAGCTAACTTGCTCTTTCATCTGAATACCATCATGAAAGTATTTCACCACCACGTTGTTTTGGCATACTTGACTATTGAACTCATCATTAGTGTAAAGTGGAAATTATTGCCAGCATCTGTCATTGAGAAGCATGATTGGGCTGGAACCTTTTTTATTTATTCTCTGTGAGAAGCTGTGCTTGTTGAATCTCCTAGTCCAAAAGGAGGAACTGGAAGCTAATACTTCCTTTCGGTGTGAAGGCAGATGCACTGGTCAAGGATACAATATTCCATCTGACTCCTCCTTGCATGGCAGACACTGGCTTTGCATGATTTCTGAAGAAACTACATTTGTTACCGTGATATCTTTTTGGCACATTTTGGAAGCAAGTCAGACTTCAAATCTTCAGCCATCTTTTGCTCTACCAAAGAATCCTGGAATCCTTTTCCTCCAGAGAAATCCAAGGCCAAGGATTCCAACAATACACTAAATCTCTTTGGAAATCTGACATAATTTAACATCTGCAGTTCTTTTATTTCCAGTAATAAAAGTGGAGCAATTAGAGTGATTAGCTAGGTCTCCAGAAGAAAAGCACTCTTTATTTAGAACAATGATATTTAGGAAAAAAGACAGTTCACAAGCTGGCCATCCTGTGGAGTCACTGATAGATCTAGGTTGTACTTCAGATGTATATATGTGAATGAAATTGGTCCCAGCATTTTTGTGGAACAGGTGTCAGAGGAGGCAGTCACAGGACTGTTTTGCTGAATTACCTTTTTAGGAGAAGTTTTGGTAAACCTTAATTTTGCTAGAGACTCCAGTTGTTATCAGGTATGGGAGTAGTGATTTTTAGATGTCATGTCAAAGATGAATATGTAAACCCAGTTTGCAAGGCTGAAATTACTGACATTAGGCAGGACCTTTCCAGAAACACCTGGCCCTGAAGTCATGCTGATGTTTTCCTTGGGTATCTTGAAGCAACTTTAACGTGTTTGTAAAGGTCCTCGGAAGTTGAATTTGTATAGTGTTGTATGAAGAGTAGCATTGTATTCCTATAAAATAAAAATCAAGTGTAGGAAAGATTTGCCTTTCAATAAAACACATTTCTGTTTGGTACAACACTGATGAAAATCTCATTTTCTTGGTATGACACGATGAAAGTGTAACTTACTTAAAATATGTATAGAGAACTGGGAAAAATGTTTTACTGAAATGCTTCCTTCATTTAAAGGGTGTAATACTGGTGTGTTTTGTTTGGGAGATGTTTCTATCCTGTGTTTCATTTCAGAAAGGCACTATGAACATGTGTAAATCTGCTGTTCATTCTGTGCTAGCAGACTGGTAGCTAGCATCATCTTCCCTGTCTGAGAGGATGTTTCGTTAGGAAACAGTGTTAGGAAATTATTCTCCCTCTGATTTTCCATTTTGGTTGATTCTTCTGACATGGGAGTCTGGATGATGTTGGTTTTCTACCTGCTACTCATTGTTGTGGCCTGCCTGAAGGTCTGTTTCATCAGTTCATCACCCCTTCTCAATTTTTCCCTTTTTTTCTTTTTTTTTTTTTCCAGTTGCCTATGGCACTTTTAATTTCCCCCCTTCACTTTTACCTGTGACTAATTTATTATACTCCTACTGCAGCTTTACACTGCATTGATGTCTGTATGGTTGTGAATCAGAAAGCTGCGATTAGCTTCTCATTAGCCACTTCCTAAGCTCGCTCACGCACATAAGCTGCATGGATACAATGGTGAGCTGATCAGTGGGTATGAAATACTGTATGTGCATTCAGAAGTGTTGATGTTTATTGCGCTTTTAAGTAATTTCCTATGCAGTATTTGGAAGAATGAAGTCAGGCAGTAGCACATTAGTTGGGACTTGAAGATTGTACTATGACAAGTAGATTTTGGCTTTTGCAATATATATGTATTCAAGTTTATGTACTGGAAAAAGTACCACCTGAGTTTAAGTTTAAATGCAGGCACATTTTTCAGCGTAAGCATGGTAGAAAGAAGAGTAGGAAAAAAAAAACCCCACAAATCCTGGGTAAAAAATCAAATTAACTTTTCCCCCATGTTTCTCCCGTTTATAGAGGCTTCTGTTGTCTTTGTGCCTACCTGAAGATATTTATTAAATGCACAACAGAAATACTGCATATTAATCATGTGACTCTGAATAGTTTAAGATACAAAAAAAACGTTTGCTGAAGAAGCTGTTTGATTTGATGATAGCAGGTTGACATGGTTCATCTACTCCTGCTTTAGATTCAGATAATGTGATATAGAGGTTTTATTTCTGTGTGCTGTTTTCTTTTAAGAGCGAACACTAAATAATCATTGAACACAGAACATGACTTGATGTCACTTTAGAAATATTTCCAAAGAAAGTTAACACAAAATAACATTATTTTGTGTTTTAGTTTTGGGGGTTTTTTTATGGTTGTGAAAGAAAGCTTTAGATTAGACAATTAATCTCTTATTGTCTGCCTTTTCCATATGAGTATTCAATTTCTTCTGCTTTACAAGCTGTTTTGAAAGGTTCTGTGGAGGAGCCGTCCTGGAGGCAAGGTTAAGTAAGAAACTTTGCTTTCGCGATGAAGTGCTGCTATAGTATTCATTGTATCTGGGGTCAAGTCAGTTTTGTAGAAGTGCCACGAAAATATTACTGGCAGAAAATGTTCATTGGCTAGATGTTCATCTCAAAATTAGGCAAAAGGATGAAGCAGAGATTATTTATGCTAAAGCCTACAATGAGGTACTCAACTCACCTTGAAGGGGCAACGTGAATTAGTTGATCCACTGAAGAACTGAAGTTACATACTAGCAGATGGGAGGAATTTTCTTCAAAGGATGTTAACACCGGTGAAATTATGCCAATAAACAACAACTGAAGCTCCGACTTCAGCATAAATAGCAGGAGCAACCTCTAGCTTTCAACCTTTTACCATTCATCAGTAAAAACAAATTTCATGGTAGAACATGTGCCTCTTTGAACGCTTCACATACATGGCTCATGGTACTTCATGTATGAGTTTTCCTGCAGGGTGGCCTGATGATCACAGTTAAAGAGACTGTTGAAAGGTAGAAAGATTCCCTATTTTTCTGAAGAAAAGCTAAAACATAAATAAACAGTTTGCTCTGATAGGCAAAAATAATCTTTCAGTGCTGTTCCAGAACCTGTATTAAAATCAGTACAGTGTATGCTTGCTGCAGGGAGGTTGGGCTAGATGACCTCTAAAAGTACCTTCCAACCCAAAGCGTTCTATGATTCTATCATAGTAGCGTGTGCCTTTGCTGTTTTTAAGGGTTGGACTAACTTGTGTTGTTTGTTTTCCCAACAGATAGCAGTAGTAATGGGATCTTGTACAGCAGGAGGAGCATACGTACCTGCAATGGCTGATGAAAGTATTATTGTTGGCAAACAGGGAACAATATTCCTGGGAGGGCCACCACTGGTAAGGAAGGAGGAGTTTCTAGTAACATAGCCCCCCCAAAACTGTGCTGCTGAGAATTGTACCATCTAAAGTATTGAGACCTTTCTTGGTGAGATATTTCCAGATATTTGGTAGATTAGTTTGCATTTTTTTAAGTGTATCTGAATGTTTATATCCTAAATTAAAACTGTTGTATCTCTTAGAGGTGTATATGTAAATCAGACTTTGTTAAGGTGTTTTTGTAGTACAGCTTTTAGATTGCCTTGCACATTTTAAATGATAAAAATTTTCTACATAAATACAGAATATTTATATATTTTCAATATTTTCTATATTTATATAGAAACAGCTGTACCAGTGTACCAGTTCTAGCACAGGCTCAGTTTTATGCTGATAGAAATAATAATCTTTGCTAACAAACACAATTTTACTTAACAAACTTTATGAGAAGAAAGGAATTTCCAGTAGTAAATGTTATGTTAGTGCTATAGCTAACAGGTAGGGCAGCACCCAGCACAACTGTTCTAGTCTCAGTGAGGTCTGACTGGATAAACTTGCTTTTTTGAAATAGTCAAGTATTTGTTTCATTGAATAAACTGGTCTGAGGCAGCACATTGACTCTGTTTTGGTTATAGTCTTTTGGGCACTTTCAGGTATGCTTCCTGTGACAAAGCCAAGTGCAAATCAAATGTCTCTCAGAAGTCCTTCCAACCTGAGCAGGCTTAAGTGGAGAAATCACTACCAGCATTGTTAATGAAGATACTGTTCCACCCAATCCATGTAGTAATGGAGGAGGGGGAGTGTGCTGGAAATCACTTCTTTCCACCACTTAAGATACTGGGAAAACGTAGCAGGTCCCATAAACTATGGGAAGACAACCACTGGCGGATTTTTTTGTTGACCAGTTCCTAAGGCATGATTATGTTAATTTCCTTAAAAGCATGAAGAATTTACCTGTGAGGTCATTTGGTGTTTACTTGTGTAGCACTGCTCTAATTTCCACAGTATGATTTTGCATTTAATTCTTTACTTCAGTGGTTTTCCCCCCCCCCCCACTGTGTCATCTTGATACTAAAAGTGGATTTAGCATATTACACCTTTTTTTCTTGTAAAGTTCAGTGTATAGATGGATTTTAAATTCCTGTGCAGCTTAAAAAAAACCTCAAAGTCTTGCAGACATACTTTTCTATGACTGGTAATGCTAATTACTTTTCCAGAACATCTTAAATAAATTCAGAATGTGAGCGGCATGTCAAAAGCACCGGGGGGACACACATACCCATAAGTACAAGGATATTTTGTTGTCTGCCATAACAAAAACATTTAGGATGTGAAGTATTTTATTATTTTAGTGGAGGCTTTCCAAGCTGACAAGAAGAACAAAGTAATCAGCAAAAGCAGATGAAGCAATTAATAGCAACTATGCCATTTAACACTAACTTATTTACTACTCATTACAATTTAGAATTCCAGAATTTCTTTGTCTGTTGGCATTTCTTCAGCAGTAGTTGCTTCAAACATCTTAAAAAGGAACAAAGACCTAAGTATCTTGTATTAGTCTCTTTCAGCTTGTTGTTTATAGGTAAAAAAGACAAATCCTGCCTCAAAATTAAACAATTTTCTCTAAATTTATCACTGTAATTTAGATATTAGCAGTTTCTTGGTGAAAAGTGGCATAAATATGAATGAAGATATTTGTTGAGAACAATATTAGCTGAGTGAGTAACATTGGGTGATTCATGCATCTTTTTTTTGAGATAAGGAAATTAGTATGATGAAAGAAACGAATTTTTACATCCGACTGTTATTAGTTTGGTTATTGTGTTACAAATAACTGCCGTGGTTGCAGGAACACCTGAGCTATCTTACGTACAAACCCTTCCTAGGTCCAGCACAGCTGATTAGCTTAGAGCCAGTGGCATACAAAGTGGCAGTACTGGCTCTGGGGCTTGCTCAGGTTCAGAGTGGTTTGTTGCAGAAGCTCAGCTAGTAAATCTGAAAGACCTGAGCAAACTCATCTCTTCTGACGTGGCTTTTCCATCTGCAAGAGTGCTGGGGAGTGCTGTGCACCTTGAGTGATTCTGTTTGGAGCTATGTTAGAGCTGGAAAGGCTCGTTGGACCCTGGGAAACCCGTTGGGTGCACTGTGTAATGTGTCCTGGAGAGCTTACTCAAAGCCAGTTTCTTTCAAGCTCCAGCATTAAGCAGGTACAAAATAAGACAGCTAATATGCCATACTAGCCAAGGAGCTGGCTAGGAAGCTGAAAAAATGAAACCAGACTCTCTTGTTCTAAGGGGCTGTTAATTGTTTAACATCACAAGGGAATTTAGATTGTACATGTGTATCACTGAAATGTAGAGCAGGAGACTTTTGCTGGGATAGGCAGTTGGAATAGGGTGGCCTGAGTCAAGTCTCAGAGGGAAGGCTTGGCTAGGCAAGTCAGTGACTGCAAGGTGCTTGTGAAGTTAGAAAAGACAAAAACTTTTCACTACTTCCAGAGGAAAATTTCACAACTGTCCTCCAATTCATTTTGTTCCTTAGCAACATGCAGATGTCATGATCCTTATCTTTGTGCGTATAGATTTAACTTTAATCTACCTGTCAGCTTTTCTGTTTGGTAGAGCTTTTCGTATTCTCACTGAAAATATTTTGCTTGCCTTTCTCTAAGCATCAATATTACTTCAGACTCCCAAAGACACTTCCACTCCATGGTGTAGCAGATATTGTAGTCATTATTGTGTATGCTCTGTTCTCCAGAATGTCTTTCCTGTATGAAGAAAATTGGATTGGATTTTCACTCACCTGCCTGAAACAAAACATCCTAAGGAAGTGAAAGAAAGTCCCTGATGCTACTTATAATTAGTCTTGGGATGTGTATGCTTAAAAAAAGTGAATTGCAGGTACAGTCCAAAGTCTAAAGTGCAAGTTTCCTTGGCCGCCTTTTTAGAAAGGTGAGGAGTAGGGACTTCACAAACAGATAGATTTCAACAGTAAGAGAAGAAGTGTCACACTAGTAGTAATGTCTAGGGCTATTCTTCTCCACTCCCCTAAGCTGAGGAATCTATATCCTCACCCTTGGCAATACTGCTTGGTAGCTCAGGATGCTGTGTTGACCTGTAGGCTTCTCCATCCCATTCCAGGAGGCTTCTGAGTCTTCCTTCCCCAGGGAAAATTTGCTGCTTGCGGTGCTCAGCTGTGAAGGCAAGTCTGCTAAAAAGGGAGAAGTTTGTCAGATTAGTGTATATTTATGTGCTGGGGACTCTTCTACACATCAGCCTGATACATTGTGGCAAATGCACATTTTATCTAAAGTTTGTATTCGTATCCCCTGATGATTGGTAGCTGAAGTAGCTTGAACAGGGGTTCCTTTGAAAATCCCCACATATCCTATCAAGGATCTGTTTGCAGTCTGTTAAAATGTAACGAACTGTAAGGAAGTTAATACTATTTAAACTATGGTTTGTAGAATGCTCTATTGCACTGCAGCACCTGGTAAGGTGATGGAGCAGATAATCCTGGAAGCTATTTCCAAAAACACTATGGACAAGGTAGTGCTGCTTTTCACAAGAAGGTGGCTGCAAGTAGTCAGCATGGATTTACAGTGGGAAAGTCATGCCTGACCAACCTGATAGCCCTCTATGCCGTGATGACTGGCTTAGTGGAAGCAGAGAGCGCAGTGGATGTTGTTTATGTTGACTTTGACAAGGCATTTGACACTGTCTTCCATAACATCCTCAAGAAACTGATGAAGTACAGACTGGGTAAATGGGCAGTGAGGTGTTCTGAGAACTGGCTGTACTGTTGGGCCCAAGCTGGAGGTCAGTCACCAGTGGTGTACCCCAGAGGTCAGTACTGTGACCAATACTGTTTACCATCTTCACTGATGACCTGGACAATAGTCCAAAGTTGACGGTCAGCAAATTTGCAAATGATAAAAACCTGTGAGGAGTGGTTAATAGAGCAGATGATTGTTCTGCCTTTCAGGGGGACCTCAACAGGCTGGGGAATGGAACCTTTTGAAGTTAAACATAGCGGGCAAATGCTTCTTGGAAGGAATAATCCTGGGCACCAGAACAGGCTGGGGACCAGCCAGTTGGGAAGATGCTTGGCAGAAAAGGCACTGTAGGTCCCAGTGGACACCAAGTTGAACACGAGCTAGCAATGTGCCCTTGCAGCAAAGGCAGCCAGCAACATCCTGGGCATGCATTAGGGAGAGTGTTTCCAGCAGGTCAAGGGTGGTGGTCCTTCCCATCTGCTCAGCCCTTGAAAGACACTTTTGGGGCATTAGGTCCAGTCTGGGCTCTCCAGACCAAGAAAGGCATGGAGCTACTCAAGTGAGTCAATGGAAGTCCATAAAGATGATGAAAGGACTGGAGCATCTGTGATACAAGAGGCTGACAGACCTGGGACTTTTCATCGTGGTGAAGAGATGGCTCAGGTGGAATCTGTTCATGTGTATGAATACCTTGCAGAAGGGAATAAAGACAGTAGAGCCAGACTTCTCACTGGTGCCCTGTGACAGGTCAGCAAACTACAGGGCACAGACTGAAATATAGGAAATTCTGTTTAGATGTAAGAAAACGCTTTTTACTGCAGTGGTGGTCACGCTGAACCAAGTTGTCCAGAGAGGTTGTGAAGTCCTTGAAGATACTCGGAACACAACTGTACGCGGTCATGAGCAACCTCCTTTAGTTGACCCTGCTTTGAGCAGGGGAGTTAAACTACATGGGCTCCTAGGGTGGCTGACAGACTCCACAAATCCAACTCTGTGATTTGGAGAACAAAAACTTAATCTCTGTGGAAGTGGAAAAACAGCCATTTTTGTAAAGTTTATTAAAATGAGTGTCTAGATTTCTTCACTAGGAGGAATCAGTGCTCTGTTCAGATTTGTTCAAAGTTCTGCAGTAGTCACAGAATCACAATATGTTATAACTGCATACTGTGTCAGATGCATTCAGATCTCAAACAGAAATCTGAAAAAAAAAAAGTGATGATAGTTTTTCCTTCTCTCTTATGTTACCTCTGTACTCTCCATGCTTGATGAATAATGGTTTCACCAGCTTGCAAGGAATCCTTTTCAAAGCATTTACGGTAGAGTGGAAGTGCATCAAGAAGTTGATTTTTTACCATGTAGTAAATGATACTACTTTGTTCTAAGAAGTATTTCACTCACTCTCAAATTATCCTGTCAAGTCTAAGATTTGACAGATCTGGGATTTGTATTGTGCATTCCAGGTATTTTTATGGAGATATCATACTTGATCCAAACAGCTTTATGACATTATTTTTTTTTTTAAAGAAAATTATTCTTATTAAATTATTGAGTATTTAATGAAATATTTAGAAAAAAACTGCTAATGATTGTTTTATGGTCAATGTTTAAAGAAGTAAGTTAAAATTCTCAGAAGAAGAGTTTGTGTAGAGAAAGCAAAGTTGAGGAATGTCAAGTTTCAACTGAGGTATTGTTTGAAACAATACAGGAAAGTATCACATTTGAAATTGGTTGTGAAGTGCTAAAAATTTTTTTGTGAAAATGCATGTTCATAAATCTTAAGGGTGTGTAAGTATACTCACGCTAATAATGGACACAGCAATAAATATAACAGTAAGTGGAGAATCTTCCTCAACTAAAACCACGTATTGGTTTTAATACCTTTCCATAATACACATATCCATAATAAGGATATAAAGTCAGAGAAATTAAATAATTTTGATGATTCGATGTTGTCACATTTTAAGTGCTCTGAGGGAGAGTAACCAAGGAAATATTATTGATGAAGAAGCATTTTGCAAAGATCTCTTATTGCTATAACTAAGCCAGTGTAAATATTAATGCAAGACAAGTGTCAACTCTAAAGCTCGTTTTCCTTTTCTTGTGGTAGGTCAAAGCAGCAACAGGTGAAGAGGTATCAGCAGAGGATCTTGGAGGGGCAGATCTTCACTGCAGGTTTAAAGAAATATTTCCCCAGAGTTAATTTCTTCCATCCTTTAGACTTAAGTAGCGTGTATTTTATTTTATGTTTTTAACGTCTATTTAGATCTTTTAAAACTATATTTAGATTTGGAAAATTAAGATTTTCTGTGTCCTTATCTGGTGCTGATGAATCATTTTATTGTTAGAGTAGCATAGTTACCTTATGTTACTCTAGTTAGGATCTTGTTTCCTTCATATACTACTTTAAAATATTTATGTGGCTGATGTAGTGCAGCATCAAACATAAGATGGAGGACTTTTCTGTACTGTTTAATACTGAGTGTTAGCAGAATAATACACATTCACAAACATAATATATTTTGCAGATTGTGTCTTTTTACTGTCAGAATTTACTACAAACAAGATGAAAATAGCTTGTGTTTTTTGTAAGGGAATATTTGTTATCAAAACAAAGAATTCTACACTTTCTAAAATATAAAAAATGGTAAGCAAAGTTAGGTTGTACTGTACAATAAGTTAAGTATTACAGTACAATAAATGCTTAATTTTTCAGTTCAATTTACTGAAGTGAATAAAAAATTGTTTTTAACGGCAGTTCATAACATTTCAGTAAACATATGTTTTCTTTATAATTTCAAATTAATTTTAATTTCCATTTGAACAAAGTTTGTCATCTTCTATGTCGTCATTTAGATTTTTTACTTCCTAGAGGTACTATTTTATGGCATGTCTGATAACAGGAATGTACTGTTTCAAAGAAAATTTCAGGCATGGTTTTATTTTGAAAGAAATTTCATAGCAAAACATGGAGACCTGTATTGTTGCCTGTGTATTTTAAAGATAAATAGAAAACTTCTAAAGTCTTGATAGTTTTTAAAACCTCAAATTTTCATTGTCAGATTTTTTTTTTAAGTCTTCATGTTGCTGTTGTTATTTATATACAGAAAATCCGGTGTAACAGATCATTATGCATTGGATGACAGTCATGCACTTCATCTAGCAAGGAAAGCAGTAAGAAGTTTAAATCTCCGAAAGAAAATAGACGTAAGTGTATAGAATCTGAGAATACTACATTATTTAAATAAGGGGCGCTTTTCTTCACCTGATTTATACAACACTGTTTTCGTTCTGGCTTTAGACACTTTGAAAATGGAAAATACAGTT